TACTACGACCGTACGACGTAACGTAACGTAACCTTACCTTACCTCGTACTACTACTCCTCCTTACCCTACCCCTACCCCCTACCCCTACCCTCCTCTCTCTCTCTCTCTCTCTCTCTCTCTCTCTCTCTCTCTCTCTCTCCTATACTCCCACTTCTTTGGAACCCTGGGATTGGACGGTTGTACGTCATGTATCAAAAACAATTCTCTACCTTTTTTTATTAAGGCGCATGTTATATACCCTTTTTTTGTTACTTTGTTACAGAACACCCAACATGTGGGTTAAGCCAAAATCTTGATGCAATACAATACTTAAATTTATATAGTCACAGACTTTTCAAAATTAAAAAAAAAAAAAGGTAATTTTACATGCATGAGATAGCAGACTTCAAAAGGATATTATAACAAGAGTATCAAACATTACGCAACTAGGGTATCCAATACAAACAGCCCAAATTAGTTTGTTTGTGTGCATGAGCATCAATCTTGATGTCACAACCAATTTTGAAAAGTTTGATTCGTCTATATTTCATTTCTTCTCTGAAATGGTTTAATAGTGTCACTCAAACCATCATGAATAATCCATAAAATCAAGAAAAAATATACAAATTCTAATTAGGGTTCCATGCCCCATATATGGTATTTTCCCATATTAAAATAAGAAATAAAAAAATTTATTAGTAACCTAGGACAAATATAGTAAAAGCATAAATTAAAAATTCATGCCATAATTTCAATGAGTCATCCATGATCTAATTATGTTTTTACCTATGTCCCATGGCCACAAGTACATGTGTCCATGTCACACACAGGCATGGGCTGTCAGAATTCTCATGCCATGCAGAAGAGGATTTGTTGACACGGCTATATTACAACGAGACAACAAAATTCAACAATGTTTTACAAATATTTCATGAGTGGCAAGATAAAATCCATTATAATGTTGTTGACTAAATCCATAGATATTTTCAAAGTTCACAAGCATCTTCTCAAAACACAAAAGAAGATCAAATTTCCTAAATGATGTAATCAGAGGTTATTGAATAAGAAGAAAAAGAATTTCTGAATGTATGTGTTGATATGTGTGCAAGGCGGTTATGGCAACCAAATAGAAGAGGCCATGTAATATAGCATTACTGGATCTCACTCCCACAACCCCCCCCCCCCCAAAAAAAAAAAAAGAAAGGGGGATTTCCCCCATGATATCATCATTTTTCTTTAACTATAGGACATGTTTGTCTTGTGAAGAAAGGGCTGCCAAAGACCCCCCCCTTCCACACTTTGGAAGCTCCCGCTTCCATGGTTCAGTATGGCAGTAGCACTTCCTGCAAATAAAAATGGGAAGTAATGTTCCTGTTATGGCACTCCTCTCTCTCTCTCTC